ACATTTTGCAGCAAGTACTTCAGGTCCTCCTCAGTTTCAGCGAACAGGGTTGTGTCATCTACATAACGCAGGTTGTTGATGATTCTTCCACCAATTCTGATGCCACATTCCTCCTCATACATTCCAGCATCTTGGATGATCTGTTCTGCATGTAGAATGAAAAGGTATGGAGACAAAATACATCCCTGATGGACCCCTTTCTTGATTTTGAACCATCCAGTGTCTCCCTGATCTGTTCTGATGACTGCCTCTGGGTCCAAGTATAGGTTTCTCATTAGCACAATCAAGTGTTCTGGGATTCCCATCCTTCTCAGAGTCACCCATCTCTTTAGCCTTTGAAAAAGCAACATCCTCACCTTAGAACAATCCACTCACCCATTCTTTGCCAAGAACTCATAACTGATTCACAGCTGATTCTCCACGGGGTTTCTAAGTCTGTAAATTCCCCAGGAGAAGATGGCCTAACTCCTGGAAGCACCTTAGAACAAAAGAACATGAAAACATAGGCCCGTTTGAGTAACATTATAACCACCCATTCGTCCGCCTACCTAGCATCTAGTTGAACGAAAGAAAAGTCATTCCCTTCTGCCTCTCACCCACCTGTCACATTAACAAAAGGACCTTCCCAAAGTTTTGCCTCTTTTGTTTGATCCTCTCCCGTATCTGCAAACATCCTGTTCATTGATAAGGTTAGTTTGCTGTCACCTTATATCAAAGAACACCTGATCAGCAGTGTGTGCGGGCACCAGTCTCAGCACGCACTTGGACTTAGGAAGCCTTATCAAGACGTGTGTGTATTCCCAGGACTGGGGCCCTTGTCTCAAGCAGAACTGCAGTCACGTCCCTTTTGCTTTCTCATTTTCTCAGTTCTGCGTTTTCCTTTTACACAGTTTGCCACAAACGTCACTGCTTTTTCTGACGCTGCAGCTAGTATGGTATGCTTTTCCCCTAAGCACATCATGGCCCAGTAGGCAAGATTTTCTGAGGCAAGGGTTTGAGCTAATCGCGAGGTGGCTCGGACTGTGTAGTAAATCAGAAGTATTATAAACTAGCAGAAGAGAAGTGTGGGCTGTTTTGGTGTTTCTTCTTTCTCTTCTGGACTGCAGCTTGCACTCCGAGCCACCCTGGTGACAACCTGGGGTGTCAGATCTCAAAAAAACGAGCCGGGGGAAAAAAACCCACCAAAAAAAAAAATAACCCAAAACAAAACAAACAACAACAAAAAACAAAACAAAACACGAGCCAATGTGTGTTTCTTCCCTGCTCTCTCTTTTTTCTCATGTTCTCTCAGGATTTTTGTTCACATAATTGTTTTGGCAATCTGTAGTTTGTATATTTCTGGCAACTACAGCAGATGGTGAAGAGATTGAGTTTGTTAACAACTTTAGTCTGCTTGACTCCACGGTCAACACTCTTGGCACCAGTAGCCAGGAAATCAAAAAATGTACTGCAATGGGAAAGTCTGTTGTTAGGGACCTCTCCAGGGTACTGAAGAGAAATGGTGTCACTCTGATACAGGCTACGGTCTTTGCAATCACTTGTTATGCATCAGAGAGTTGGACAATGACTAGGAAGGCTTGAAGGAGGATTGATGCCTTTGTTTTCTTGGCAGTCCATGGTACATTCAATACTCTTCTCCAGCACCACAGCTCAAAGGCATCATGGAGAGGGTTAAACCAGGCTGCTCCTTGGAGGCAAGGATTCTGGGGCTTCATTTGACATACTTTGGACACGTTATAAGGAGGGAGAGATCCTTGGAGAGGGACATCATGCTTGGGAGGGTGGAGGGACGGCGTAGGAGGGGAAGACCCTCTATGTGGTGGATTGATTCAGTGACTGGGGTAATCGGGATGGGTGTATCAGAGACAGTGCGATTGGCACAGGATAGAGCAGGGTTTAGGGCTGTTGTACATAGGGTCGCTATGAGTCTCAAAGGACTCGATGGCACATAACAACAACAACAACACAACACTGTGTGAAAGAGTCTGGTTTTGGCCCCTTAATTAGTTCAAACCCAGAAAACACTCCAACAGCACTGGAGGCCGTGTACACATGCTATTCACTCACACAGCTCGGCAGGCCGTGTGTACATGCTGTTTAATCTGTGCTCAGGTGTGAGCAGGCTGGAACCCAGACTGGCATCAACATAGACAAAGAGTGGTATTATAGTCTCTGGTCACCAGCAATGCAGCTTGCTCCCGTGCTCTGTGTGCCTCAGGCCCGCCCCTCCTCGTGTCCTAGGGCCCACATCTGCCAACCAGCTCCCTTTTGTCTTCTGTTACCTGTTGGCACAGGCTGCTGACCTAAGTGGTGTCGACATTAGGTGCCGGGCTTTAGGAGAGGAGGGGTGACCTATCCCCTCCAGCTCAGGCCCAAGAAAAAGCTTAACTTTGGCCCATTTTTGATCAGTTTTCTTGGTGAGATTTCACAGTTTTGGTCAAAGAAATCAAATGTTTTATGTAGGACTTCACAGTTTGTTCTGTGGGTCAGACATTTTGTTTGGGATCCCACAGTTTGGTCAGGCTTTAGACTTTGTGTTTGTCTACTCCTGGGCAAGATTCTCTGAAGGCAGAGGGTAGAGCTCAGATAGTGTTAGAGCTCCAGGAATCGATGGCATACCAATCGACACACTTCAACAAACAGATGCTGCCCTGGATGTGGTCACCAAGTTGTGCCGAGAAATCTGGAAGAGCCAGCTGGCCAACTGACTGGAAGAGATCCATGTTTGTACCCATTCCAACAAAAGGTGACTCAACAAAGTGTGGAAATTACAGGCAAGCAAGATCCTGCTGAAAATTATCCAAAAATGACTGGAACAGCACATCCACAGAGAACTGCCAGAGATGCAGGCTGGGTTTAGGAGGGGTCATGGTATATTATAGGTAATGTTAGATAGATCTTGGCTGAAAACATAGAGTACCAGAGGAATGTCTACTTGTGTTTCATTGACTATTCAAAGGCATTTAACTGTGTGGATCACAACAAATTGTGGCTAATTCTGTAAAGAATGGGAATCCCGGAACACTTGATTGTACTTATGTGAAACCTATACTTGGACCAAGGAGGCAGTCGTCAGCACAGAGGTAAAACTGCAAGGTTCAAAATCAGGAAGGGTGTATGCCAGGGATGTGTCCTATCTCCATATCTTTTCAATCTATATGCAGAACAGATCATCCGGGAGGCTGGACTCTGTGAGGAGAAATGTGGCATCAGGATTGGAGGAAGACTCATCAACAACCTGCCTTATGCAGATGACACAACCCAGCTTGCTGAAACTGAGGAGGACCTGAAGCGCTTACTGCAGAAGGTCAAGGACTGCAGCCTCCAATATGGATTGAAGCTCAACATCAAGAACATGAAGATTCTCACCACTGGTTCAACTGCCAGCATCATGATAGATAGTGAAGAGACTGAGATTGTTAACAGCTTTAGTTTGCTTGGTTCCATAATTAAAACTCTTGGCACCAGCAGCCAGGAAATTAAAAGACAAATTGCATTGGGAAAGTCAGCTGTCGGAGACCTCTCTAAAGTACTGAAGAGCAACGATGTCAGTCTGGAGACTAAAGTGTGCCTGATCTAGGCCATGGTCTTTGCAATTACTTGCTATGCATCAGAAAGCTGGACA